AAAGAGCTGTAGGAAATGAGAGACTGTGGTGAAGATCACAGATGTGTCCAACCTGAGACTTATTTCCACCAATCAGCGTCGTCGGTGGGTTTGGGTTCCTAACACCTCACTCTGTCAGGAAATCCTCAGAGGGAAGGAGACGTCGGGAGTTAGAATCCTGGTTGGGTTTTTTTGTTTTTTTTTTACCACATCTTGACTGAAAAGAAGTCCATATTAGTGGGTGTTTATTTTTCTATTTTAACACAAAACCAGAAAAGGAAGTGAAATAAAATTTGAAAATGTTCTTTTTTTTTCCCAAGTTAAGGTCATAATTCTTTTTTTTTTGTTTACCCCCAGAAGTCTTTAATAAATACTAATATTAATTGGTAAACTTGTTCTGACAAAATATAAAATATATTTGATTTTGTGATTTAAATATATATATTTATAGAATAGCACTATTGCTACATCTGTTATCTAATGGCTAACATGTGTTGATGATAAATATTTAAAATTAAGGTCGGGTCAGAAAAGCACAAATAATTGGAAAAGCATTAAGAATTGTCACGTTAAAATATTAGATTTCAGGTAAAGTTTAAATCTGAAATCTGAAAGTTGTTATCTCAAAAATAACAATAAAAACCCTCTAACCCTCTTTTTTTTTCCAGACCGACTCCCTGCGTATTCACGATGCCTTCGTTTCAACTTCCTGTCATTACGTGAGTACAAATATCAACAATAGCTCAACAAAATGGTTGGATTTATGCGCGACGCCGTCGTAAAGGAGCGTTTGAGCAGCAGTTTTGAACTAATGCTTTGTAAACTCTTCACATCACTTTATCTCCTACAACATTTACGGCCTCATAAAACGCTTCCAGGCTGCAAATGAAGTTGCAGGTGTATGAATATTCATGCTGTAAAAACACTTAAGTACTTTATGAATAATTCTGGACAGAGTCTGATTTATTTTTCCACGCTAACCGTCTTCTGATTTATTGCCCTCCTATAGGGCAGATTAAGAGGTGGGTGAAACACAATCGATGCCTCGCCTTGGCTGAAAGTTGTAGCCTTACATGACTTGGGGGGGGGGTTAAAGGCGAGTAACGACTGCTCATACCTGTTTACTCTGTGGAGTGTGTACTTGCTTGCTCACAGCAAACACAGACACAAATACAGTATGTTTATAATATATTTATAAGTTTGGGCCAAAAAAAAAAAAAAAAAAACTTGTCTTAGAAGATCCTTAGCATTTATTCATTTTTAACGTCCGCAAACTTTTATGGTCACAGCCAATAGATTTACGACGACATAATGTCATTTTTTTTCTTTTTTATAAATTACACTCCAGCCTTGGTATGAGAGGACACAGTTTGATTGACGGTCTGCAATCAGGCTTTTTTTTTTTTTCTGACTCTTGTCGATTAGTCACCAAAAAGTCTGACCCAACTGACTTCTGAAAAAAAAAAATCTGGCCCAGTTTGATTTATTATTAAACAGCCCTGCTCTGATTAACAACGAGTATTTTACTTTTTTATGATACTGTAGTTTTTCTAGAATCTAGGATTTACATTTTAACTGTGTAAAGTTGCCTCAAAATAACCCAGTTTTTTTTAATTGTTGTCGGCCATTTCTCACTAAATGTTACCTGCACCTTCTAGAATATTTTCTCCCACCTAGTGGTTTCTGCGTGAAAGGTCACTGTAAAAGGAAAATAGTTCAAAACAAATAGAGATAAACCGCACAAATTTGATGAAAAGTCTTCTCACCACGTACCATCACGGAGTCCAGGGACCAGATGTTGGAGCGTGGAGCACCTTCAGCAGCTCCTTGTTAACTCCTCTCCCCTCAACCTCCCCCGGGTGTCGGTGTGTGGGTGTCTCCACGATCTGAGCGTTAGCCGGCCGGTTCGTGTTTCCGACAGGTTCTCCGTGTTCAGTGTCGGCCGCTGATGAACTAACTGATAATTGTCACCTCTATTTTGAGAGAGGTGAAGCTCAGAGAGACCACGCTCAGATGGATCCTTGAAGCTGCGATCGTGAGTACAAACGCAGAGAAAATGTCAGGCTGTGGAGTGTGAGACTCGTGACCCAGTTTATTAACGACGCCACGTCCAAAAACCTCGCAGATCCACTGCGCTCCCTCAGGGATGTCGGATTAGTTCCGTCAAAAGTGCTGCAGATGTTTATTCATGAAAACTGAAGCAAATGAATGAATGGAAATAGGACACAATAAATATGGAAAGTTTGATGTATTGAGCTGCATCAGATCATCCACTAATTTGATGAATCTGTTAGTGATGGTGATTCGTTAGCCAAAACCGTGGAAACATCGTGACGGTAGAAAACAAGGATTCAACTCTTTTAGAGTATCTTAGTTACAGCGATACCTAGAAAAGTATTTCAAAATAATATTTTAGATGACACTTTTATTCATTTCTGGGTCACATGTTAAAGCTTCAGCCAATCCCAGCAGTCATTGCAGGGTCAGACCCTGGACAGTTCTCTAGGCCCAAACCTGGGACACCTATGGTCAGTGTAGATTGAATAATCACCCAAATCCTTCATGTTGTTGGAATCTGAGAGAAAAACCAGAAAAGAGAGGGACAAGCGACCATTCACACCTATGGTCAGTGTAGATCGAATAATCACCCAAATCCTTCACGTTGTTGGAATCTGAGAGAAAAACCAGAGCACCTTCAGGGACATGTATGGGTCCCAGAGCCAGGATTTGAACACACCTGATCTGACAGATTAAAATAGGGGGGCGGGGGGGGGGGGGGAGGGTGAAGACTCTGGTCCCTCCAACAGTCTCATTAACCCTGGTCTCTGGCAGTGACTTCACATTCCCAGGGTGTGGTGCTGAAACCTGGCTTCAGTTACACATTTCTGTGAATGTGTGTGAGAGCGTGTGGACAGACGCACTCTGCGCGTGTGTGTAAATGTAAAGCTATAGCATGCTACAAGCTAAAAGCTAATGTAAAGTTAAAAACAGACTTCAGTAGCATTTTTTACGTCCTCTTTTTTCATCATCCTCGTCCAGTTGGACAAACGTACAGTTGGCAGACCAACTCTTAACTGAAAGTGACCTTGATTAGCTCAGAGTTAGCCAGAGGCTCAGGCAGTTTAAGGATAATTTAGGATAGAAGGACAGAAGCATCAGTGGTCTGTCTGTGAGGTGTGTCGGCCACAGAGGAGGTTTGTGTTTTCAAGTGTCGGTGCAGAGACTGACGCCGTGGTGAGACTTGTTTAGATCATCTGAAGAAATAGAACAGTGGCAGCGAACTGTGATGTCTGAGCTGAGGAGGAGGAGGAGGAAGAGGAGGAGGAGGAAAACTGAGGAGGGAGAGTCAGGAACACTCTGGTCTTTGATGATCTCTCTCTCTCTCTCTGTCTCTGCCTCTCTTTCTCTTCACAGTTTAGTTCATCTGTCAGTGAAGCCGTCGTCAGTCACTTCCATTTGAAGCAGTTCCGTAAATATAATCTTAATCTCACAGATACAGTATAGTAGTAGTACTACAAGTGTACTAGAAGATTAATAAAAAGTGAAGTTTTTTTTTTCTACATTTTCTGGCGAATATTAAAGAAATGAAAAAGTGAAGTTTGTTGAACATTTTCTGGCGAATATTAAAGAAATGAAAACTATATAAAATATTCATGTTACAGATGAATTCTTCATACGAAAAAACAGAATGTCTTTGAAAGATCTCATTTAAGACCAATATACTAAAACAAATTTGTTCCTTTAAGGGAAAACTTCAAAATGTACTGCGAGTGAAGTACGTTCTTCCCTCAGTGACTGTTTAAATGGCAAAAACACTTCAAAATTTACGACCAATATATTTTCTGCGTTTGGATTTTAAGACCAGTACCAGGCAGTTGGGTCATAAAAGTGATATAAAAATATATTTGACTATTCTGAGTCGATCTTTGTGACAAATGAGAGAAAATCCAGGCAGTGATTGAAGTGAAGCACAAAAGAGAGTGAAGTATTTCTGCAGACGCTGTACTCTGTGAAGAGACACACGGAGTGTGTTTTTACAGCCAACTTTAAAGTCTGTGTTAGGTCGGATTTTGGCAGCATATCACACACACACACACACACACACACACAGATCTGAAAATGTGTCTACTTTAATCTATTATTAGATGTCGTTGCCTGATCCAGACTAATGCAGTATTAAAATAAAAGTACTCTACTCATGTGTACTTTATACACAGTATTAAAATACTGTGCTGCCAATAAAAAGTTTTTTTTCTCTTCTTGAACCTGAGTCATATCTGATAACAGAACCGGGCCCTGGGGATCAGAACAATGCTGCATTAAATCCATTAGTTTAGTGCTTTTTATCCAACTCCTCAGTGCAGTGTATGTATATATTTATATATATTTTTATATATATTTTATATACATATATTTTTTTGTTTTTGTGTTTCTTTTTTTTTGGAGTAGTGGTTCTCACCGTCTATATAAATAAATATACATATATACAGTATGTATATATATTTATGTATATGTATATATATGTTTATATATATATATTTATGTATATGTATATATATGTTTATATATATATTTATGTATATATGTTTATATATATATATTTATGTATGTAAATATCTCGATTGACTCATTCCTTTTAGCCTCACTTATATACTTCTTCGTCTTCTTTTTCTTCTTCTTCTTCTTCTCGTTCTTCTTCTCCTTCTTCTTTTTCTTTTTCTTCTTCTTCTTCTTCTTCTTCTTCTTCTTCTTTTTCTTTTTCTTCTTCTTTTTTTTTTTTTTTCTTTTT